GGCTGTCAGTCATCAGGCAGGGGTATGGGCTGTCAGTCATCAGGCAGGGGTATGGGCTGTCATCAGGCAGGGGTACAGGCTGCCACCAGGCAGGGGCACGGCAGGCAGAGATCCCCACTTGGATACAGCAGAGCTGGGTTGGAAAGCGCCAGGACCCTGGGCCCCTCTGGGAAGCAGCACCTGCTGAAGCTCAGAAGCCACCTCAGCAGTTCTTTCAGGGAAAGAGACTTGGTCTCCGGGGAGTGGTACAGACATGGTCTCCGGGGAGTGTGGTGGGTCCTGGGATTTCTATCTGCAAGCAGGAAAGAATAAAGAGAAAAGAAGAAGGGTGAGGCTGTGGGGCTAGCGGCAAGGTCAAGGCAGAATAACCTGGTGGACACACGGGTTCTGAGTCCTGCTGCTCCTCGCCGAGACCCAGCCTCCACCCCGGGCTGGGGATCCTCAGGACGCCTGTGGCAGGCTCTGTGCCATGCAAGGGACAGGGACTCCCTGAAAAAGAACTCAAGACTGAAGGGGGAAGACCAAGGGGGATTTGAGCTCTTGTGACCCTGGCGATTCTGAGAGACCAGGCCTGGGGCAGGGCCTCCCCCAGAGGAGCCACCTGCCAACCTGGACGTCAGACGCTGGCCCCCAGGACTGTGTGAGGACACAGGTCCAGTGTTCAAGCCCTGGTTTGTGGTGCTTGGACTGACCAGCCCAGAGCAAAGGTAAAGGGTCATGTGAGGAAGGCCTGTCAGAGGGCCAGGGGCCTGAGCACTGGCCACTGGTCATTCTGTTTCCTTCTGTCTCCTTCATGATGCTCCCCAGAGGGGTTCCCTGGGTGCCACGCCCAGCGACCCTTCCTGCTAGGTGGGGGACCCTGCCGCACCCCCACCCTGTTCTTTCCTCTGGTACTTCTGTGGTTTTCCTGGGCCTGGGCTGCGGGGTGATGCTGGAATCCACTTAGAAAGGGGGAAAATGGTCAATGCTGATGACAAAATCTGGAGTTTGAAGGAGCAGAGACAAGGAAAGATAAGACCACGTCCCATGACCTGAGCTGAACTTTGGGAGGCAAAGGTGGACGAAGGTGATGAACTCAGTGTGAGTCTTGTTGGGTGGAGAACAAAGAGCCGGGGGGTCAAAGTCACCAGAGATTCTTTCAAAACAAAACTGAACACTACCACCAAGCAAGCCGCTCCCGAGCTGTCCAACTTAGGACTGCGGCAGCGAGTTCATCCCTAAATCAGTGCCCAGCAGGCTCCTCCCCTGACCAGGAAGCAGGACAGGGGCCCAGCCCTCCTGCCAATCACTCCGAGAAGAACCAAAGAGGAGCACGCAGAACTACGGCCTGAGCCCCTCACGACACGCGGCTCCCAGCGCCAGGAGCCCCGAAAGAAACACTAAGCGGGGCAGACCCGCCCCCTCCTGCCATTCACTGTCCCCTTTGGGTCTGGTGCCCTCTGAAACCAACCCCCATGGCTACAGGGCCACACTATCCCTCAACACGGGTCCTCAGTCTCCGAGATCCAGCAGCGGCGCCGAGCTAAGATTCTCAGCTCTCTGTTGCACAAACACCGCGGCTTGCTGTCCTGAGAGGACGTCCTTCCAGAACTGGAAACTGCAGCAGCTAAGGACACTGGGAGCCGTGGGGCAGTGCAGGCGGAGGTCCCCACAGACGGGAACAAGTGGGGAGCATACGTGCAGGACCAGGCTGAGCCCACTCGGCCCATGGTGGGTCCCCAGCCAGGTCCACAGAGCTCACAGATTTCCCCCCCAGATGCTGTCCCTGACCCAGGGACAGTGCAGCCAGAGTCGTCGCCCACAGCAAAGCAGTGAGCTCTAGGGAACAGAGGCCAGAGGGAGCCCAGGAGGACGAGGGGAGAGGGAGCCCAGGAGGACGAGGGGAGAGGGCTTGGGAAACAGAGGGACCCAGAGAAGCAGCAGGAGGGCAAACCGAGAACTGAAGGTGGCCCAGAAAGAAGCACAGACTCCGCCCAGCTGCAGAGGCAGGTGGGGGCCCAGGAGAGGAGGCCGCCAACCAGGTGACCTCTAATGCCCTCAGCTCGGTTCTCCAACTTGGCAGATGGTGGAACCCCGTGTACCATAAAACGTCCATGAACAGGCCACTGCGCCTGGTGACACAGAATGCAGGCGTTTGGCTCCTAGTGCGCATCCCGTGGGGATCATGCCCCCCCACCTGAGCACTGAGGGCGTCTGGAGAGACTTTGGTCATCATGACAGAGAAGGCGTCCAGGGTGAGGGGACCAAACTCCACAGCACATGAGGCAGCCCCTCCAACAGGAGTCCCCAGTCCCCATGTCAACTGTGCAACAGTTGAGACGGGGGTGGGGGATGGGGGGATTTGCAATTCTTCTGCAAAAACTACTGAGGTGGCTGAGTGTGCCCTCTGCAGCAGTGGCCTGGGGATTCCCTGTGGTAGGGACTGTACTGGTGGCAGTGATGGGGGAAGGGAGAAGAGCTGACGGGCCTCAGAGCCCTCGGGCAAGCCCACCTGTCACTGGAGCAGGCTGGCCGCCATCATCCTGTTGACTCAAGTCTCCTCTGAGCCGCTGCAGAGGTGTGGGTCCCCAACAGGGAGAGCAGACACCCCAGCTGAGCGCGCCTTCCCCAGGTGGAGTGGCTGCCCACCCCCAGAGGGTCCTCAGTACCCAGCGGCTCCTCCAGGTGGCCCTTCAGCGGGTGTCGCCATCTCCCTCCTCTGCCGGCCCCCTTCTAGGGCACAGCAAGAAACCTCCCGCCAACTCCACCTCACTCCATTTCCTGCACTGCCAACCTTCGAAATGCCACCTGCTGCGGCTCCCCCAGGGGAGGTGACCTTGTCTCATGGTGTCCCTGAATGTCACCACCGAGGACACTGACTTCCGTCCCCATGCCCACGGCTGCCCAGCTTCTCCAGCGTTGGCTCCAGCACCAGGCATTAAAGATGGCAGCTCCCCGTTGCCCCCGGGGGCTCTGGGTCCACCTCCACCTCACAGCTGCCCTTTCCCTTCCTGAAAGGGACTAGCGGTCCCCTCACAAACAGGGCTTGACTGTGATATGAAAGAGTAAAAGAAATTGAAGTTAAAGTGTAAAGGACCGGGTATTGTAAAGTTTCTAAGCTGCAAAGCCTGAGTTAAAATGTAAAGGACCAGGTGTTGTTAAGCTCCTGTGCTACACCCAAAGCCTGAAATTCCTGTAGCTGTTAAGGCAATTCCTGGGACTGCCCAGTAGATATTCCCCCTGACCATTTAGTTGTTTAATAACCTGGACCCTGTGCAGTTTGGCACGTAGGCATTCAGGGCCCAAACCAATCAGTTTGAATGTATCCCCCTCTTTAGGAGTGACCCATCACCCCCGCCCAACCTGTTCGTGCCAATGAATGTGCTAATCATGTTTGAGAATCGTTGTTTGATTTTCCCGTGGTGTATGGTGATTTGTTAAAAGGGACCATGACGTATGTAAAGTCCCTGCCCTCCCTAAAGAAGTGTACTTCAGCACTGCTCAACCCCTGCTCGGGGCTCTTGGCCGCTCTCCCTTCTTGAGTGAGCACGGAGCCCCAGCGTGCTGGATCCTCAATAAACCCCCTTTTGCTATTGCATGAGTCGGTCTCTTGGTGGTCTCTTCCTCCGACGTTCGCCGGACCCTTACAATACGTCCGCATCATGAAATTCTATGCAGCTGCTGATAAAAACGAAAGGCTGTGTGTGTCGAGGACTGTTCATGGAGCAGAAGAAGCCCCGGTGATGATGTGGTGGGATCCCAAGTTTGTAAAAATAAAGAGAGGGAACAAAAGAAAAGAAAAAAGAAGACCGTCTTCTCTCCATACGGAAAGAGCACAGATGAGTTGTCTAGTTCCTGGTGCTTTTCTCTGTTTTCTCTATGATACTTGTTTCTTGGACAATCTGCAACTGAAAGCTGCTTTAAGAAGGAAGGGTATGTCCTCTCTTCAGGCTCAGAGCAACGATGCTCTTACGAGGGACACCCCACACCAGAAGCCACCAGCCGTCTTTACCCTACTTGTTACAGAGAACCCACACAAATGGGCCCACAAAGGACATTTCCAGGGGACTTCTTTCTAGTCATGGGGGGAGGGGCAGAAGGGGCACTAGGGAGCCACAGAGTGTTTCATTGTCACTGGGACAGAGATACAAAGAACGGCTTTGATGGCACAAACCCGTCTTGACCACACAGCAGTGGCATGCTTTCAACCTCTGACACCGACAGAATCTTCCAGAACCCAGCTGGACCTGCAACATGCTTCCCAGACCCAGGAGCCTGTCTTTGGAGCTGAAGCCAGAGCTCAGTGGGTTGGGGGACGGGACGTGTATGGTTGTCCCTGTGGGTGGGCAGCTGCCGGGCTGGGGGGGTGCCTGCCTTGTGCAAGGAAGACTGCCCGGAGAGAGAGGAAAGATCTGGCCTGGTCAGCAAGAGGAGCCGTGTGCAGTGTCCACCGCCTTCCTCACATCAGAGCGTGCCTGAGGGGCAGGCGGGTGGGCGCACCTGAGGCAGGTGGGAGGCAGGAGATTCCATTCCTAGGGGCCTTTCCCACCCGCCTCATTCACACCCATTTCTTGAGCAGGCACAGGTCTGGGGTCAGACAGGGCAAGGGAACACTGTGACACCCACATGTGGCCTTTCTGCAGAGCAGCTGTTCTCAGGTGGCAACGGCATGGGCGTCACCGGGGGCTCTTGGTGAAACACAGGCACTAGCCCTCCTCCAGTGTCCGACTCAGTAGGTCTGCAGGGGGCCCCATGGCTGCATTTCTAGCAAGTCCCCAGGCAAGGCTGCCATTGCTGGCCAGGGGACCCCACTTTGAGAATCCTTGAAGAAACAATAAGAAGAGATGCAGTGCCAGGGATGGCAGGACGTGGGCACCGCCCCGAGGGCCACCAGCCTTGCTGCCCGCTGGACGTGGGGCCGCCTGCCTGGGCTGGTGTGAGCAGAAAGCAAACTGCTCTCCCGTAAGCTGGTGTCTGGGTGGAGGGAGAGGAGCAGGGTCGGTCCTGCCCTTTGTTTCTCGGGGACCTCTGTGTCCAGGGACAGAGTGGTCTCCCAGCCAGCTCCCAGGAGGCTGGCTGCAAGCGACTCATTGGGATTCAGCTGGCTGACAAACACCTGGAGGTTCTGAGATTGTGCTGAGGTCCGAGCTCCGGGATTTTGCCTGGGGAGTTTATCACGTTGAGTCGTTGAGTCGGAGGAGTAGGTAAAGAGGTGGCTGAGTCTGGTGGGGGAGGTGCGGGAGCCGTGAAGATTAGTAAATTATTCACACATCTCTTTCCACGAGAATGCGGCTCGCCCTCCACTCAAGAATGCTTATCAACACTCTGAGATTTTTTTTTTCATCCATTTTTAAAGGAGGCGAAAGGAAAGAATATAATAACATTTAATTAAGAAATTAAGCCATCTCCTTCCTAAATATTCGGTTCTGTGTTTATTGCCTCCAGGAAGGGGGAGGGGAGAGTCCAACCACTGCAAGGAAATGGTTTCCATCATCTGCAAAATCCGATGCCCAAAATAGCCCCACGGTTGCCCTGGCAACCAGCGTTTGCTCCCCCTCCCCCTCCCCCTCCCCCTTCCTTTGCATATTGCCGCATATTTCTATCATCTCTTTCCAGGCACAGTTCATAAACACGACGGCATAATAAAGAATGTTATCACCAATGACTTACAGCCCAGCTGCGCCCGGCGAGATAGGAAGTGGTAAGCGAATACAATTTCATGCAGTGAGGGCAACAGATTGATTGGGTGCCCTTCAAATGCGATGCCACTTCTTTCAGTCCAAATTCAGAAATAAAGTTGGTCTCGCCCTTCCCCGGGCTTCCCTAGACAATGCACGCAGGGATGATGCCCGGGAGTCTCATTAGGGCTGGAAGGATCCTGCCCGAGACAGGGATCCTGCAAGAGACTCTCAGCGCTCTCCCTGGCCCCCCTCCTCCCCCTTGTCAAAGGCTTTTTGAATTAATTGTCCTCTCTTCCCAAGGATGGTTCTGGTTCCTGTGGCCAGGGGCAGGGGGTGGCG